AAAACTTTTTTTTAACTAAGTTTATTTTTTAAAACTTTTCACCTCAGCAATAGTCTTTGAAAAGAGACCAAACTCAAAGGTGCACTGTGAAATATTTAGGAGAATCTGTTGACAGAAATGCAATATCATATACATAACTACATTTTCAGTGGTGTATAAAGACCTAAATTAAAGGGATACTTCACCTCTGGAGAGATGAATGTGTATTTAAAATGGGTCATTTATGTAGAAGAAATGTGCAATTATTTTTGAATTTGGATCTTTCTGGACTGAGAAATGCCAGAAAATGTATTTTTGGCTTATATGGAAGAAAGACAACAACTCCCAAAATGCACTTGCTTCACTGCCCAAGGAGGCCACACCTACAGGCAACACAGCGCAGTAGTCTAGATCAAGGGGGTAATCCATCGACCGGAAGTTGAAGCCTCCAATGAGTTGCCATCTTGTAGCAGAACTTCACTTGCGTTAGCATTCCCATTGACTCCCATTCATTTTGGCGCCACTTTGACAGCGAATAACTTTACATCTGAGGCGTTTGAAGACCCCATTTGTAGTTTATTTATTTCTAAAGAAACACGACAATGTATAAATAGCTCCATTACCTTGTAGCTTATGTTATGGCCCCGTAGAAGCAGTTTTAGTGAAAGTAGGCACGTAGAGAGATTACCGTATGGACAGGAGGAGAAGCTCACGCGCAATCGGGGAAACGTGGAGGCAAAATGACAAAATAATTAATCAGAATACCTAGCAGAATTGTCTCCTTCTCTTAGCTTATGGACAGCTCCTATTCACACTCTCCGCCTCTGCATGTTTCGGAAGGGAATGATTCAGATTTCTCATGCCACAGCACTAGAAGACAGACGGGTTGCTCTCGTCACATTACGTAGTCAAGCTCTCTTTGAGTCTGAGCGTCAGGGACGGAAGTGCTAAAAAAAAAAAAAAAAAAAAATATCGCCAAAAACGGGCTTCAATCATCTCAATGGAGTTCTAATGAGATCGCTCTGTCCATTTCTTTTACAGTCTATGGTCTAGACTACTAGTGAGTCTCCATGATGAGTCTGCCTAAAAATGTGTTTCGAGATTCAGATTCACCAATCGGAATGAATTCAGTTAGATTGAAACAAAAGGTGTGCATGTAAACAATGAATGGTGACTGCAGAAGGCAAAAGCTGAATCCCGGACATCGACGGCCGTAAATGTTCGGGAAAAAGAGGATGCTAACCCCTACTACTCAGCTTTCTCCACAGACCAAGAGCCTGCTAGCTTAGCTTTCCAAAAAAGATGGCTGACACTATGTGTACATTCTGTGAGTGAGATCCCACCCTCGATGGGAGGGTTGAAAACATGCGGGACAGCCCCTATTACTGAGTGTAGTCTTTAGCCTCTGGCCCAAAAATACTCCAATGAAGAAAAATTATGTTTTTTGCATCATCTGAGGATTTATTACAGACAAAAAAATTAGTACTGGGCCGTTATCGGCATTAATGTGCTGCGTTAACGTGAGACTTTTATCAGGCGATAAAAAATATCGCTGTTAATCAAAGTTGGGTTGGGATCATTTTCGAATATCGTTATATTTTCACGCAATTCTACAGTGTAGTATGACATAATTGACGCCGCGCCTAATGTCACATCGCGCAGCAGGGTATTTTCCTGTCAGGGACACAAGGTGTACTTTTACTTTGTTACGTTGTAATCTATGACAAAAATGCTACTATAAACTAGATTAGTGAATAATATAATATCTATCTATGCAATAGTTTATTGAGCCTTTTCTTTTAACAGTTTTAAATTTCAGTTACTGTACGCGTGAAGAAAAATTATAGTGCTCTGACTCTACTCTAGTGTTGTGATCAAACCGACAGTGTCCGACACCCAGTAGAGAGTAACACGGTTAAAGCAATAAAGTCCAGCAAGATAATGTTGTTTTATGTGAAAACATAGACCTTTATCTACAGATCAAGTGTAATATTAACATTGAATCATCTTGAAGACAGTTCCATCATTGACAGTAACTGAACGCGACGCAGTGTTTGAACGCTGAATGGAGAATGACTGACAGCCAAATTAACTTCTCTTGAATTTAATGACTTAAATATTAATTTCTCTCTCACATAATGTTTACAGAACACTTATAATACCGTGCACAAAAACTTTATGGTACTTTAGAAAGTTTTTGTGCCTTTTGTGGGGCTTAACAATAACACAGAATAGTATACACACAATATCGGATTTGAATCAGCCTCGTCTGATCGATCCCCATTCCAGCAAAAATGGCAGTATCGGAGCCGATACCGATCCTAAGTATCGGATCGGGACATCCCTAATTTAAATACGCCGGCATGTTTCTACAGAAGCCCTAAACGGACAAATGCATTTCGTCACTATGTTGTTCTTCGTGCAAAGAAGCTAGCTAAAACACTGACACAATGATGAACAAGTATCAATAATATTCGCAATAACATATCATTTTACTGAATAATTAGGTAGGCCTAAACCTAATTTTTCTTAATTTATCTTTGTAAAGAAACCTCATTGCTTAACTGGCTACTCTCTGCTGTCTCAGATGACAACATCTTACGTCAGCCACCATAACTTCTGCTGGTTGCAATTCACAACTTCACCACTAGATACCACTATAGAAATTACACAGTGTACCTTTAATTCAGTGCTCTAAACCATTCAAGATTTCAACAGTTTAAATTGGAAATTTCATTTTCAGGTCAGGTACATAAATATAATTTAAATCCCCCAAAAATACTTCCTCACTCCTCAGAACATAATTTTTACATAATTTTGTGTGTTTTTGTCCATTCAAGCATGATAAGATGAACTTAAAGCAAAAGAGAATTCAAATCCCATCCTCTGTCAGCTGCACTCTCTCGCTTTCCGGGACTGGTGAGTGGAACCAGATAGTCTGTTCTGTTCATACTGTGGCGCGGAAGCCGGATGCCATGAAAACAACTGATTTTGATTTAATTACATTAAAAAATTTGAAGACATTAAATATCACAGAAATGAACACGCTATTTTTGACAGCCCTACTACATAAAGATTACGTGCAGTACAGCTTGATATAACATTGCATCCACCTCCACTAGTACTGTCAAGCAACAAACTAAGACCCTTCAAACAAATCGAGAACTATAAATAGATTTTTCCATCCACTTCAATTGTAACCATTCTCAAGCCATAAGACAGGTCTCTTGCGTAACCTTTTAACCACAAAACTGGCAAATTGTCTGTCAACCTGAAGCAGCAAGAGTCTCTGTGCATGTTTGTGTGGCTTTAGCTTCCTGCCCAAAAGGAAACATGATAAAAATAATCTTTAATCAGTCCTGTGCGCCTGATCGTGATAATAAATAAATAAATATAAATCCACCACCACCAGAAACAGCACACTTTTATAACTATGAAAGATGTTGGGCTAAAATGCCAATGGCATCCAGTTTTGCATAGCTCTATTATCAATATATTCATTCATATTGATATTTAATCATACAACCAATGCATTACCTCTTCTGCATATCACAGCAACTCTTCTGTACAGATGTTTTTCAATAGACCTAGATATGTTATTTCATTATTCTGTCTAACTGCTATTATTATTCCTCTGTGAACAGGAAGCATCTAGCAAACGCAAATTTATGTAAGATCATACCTGGCAATCAAACTCTTACTTTCTAATAACTTTTTTTAATCACAGGGAGGGAAAGTATGGCGTTTTATTGCATCTCATACAACCGGCTTAACCACAATTTGAAGTGCGGATCTCAGAAATCTTATACGAGTATCATTTAGACACTATTGTAATTTTAATAACATTTTAGTATTTGTTTATTATATATTTTCGATTTTTTTTTTCATTTTTAGTATTTTTGCTTTAAAAATTAAATTAAAAAAAGCACCGAAATGACCCAATTTGGTCCATTCTGAACCAAAACCCGAAATTTTTCGGCCTATCATTTTCAGTTTCCCTAAACAAAATGTCCAGTTTTTATGAATTTCTACTTCTGTTTTAGTTTGTTATTTTAGTACATGGTTTTAATTAACTATTAAAATTCTGACTCATAAACAGACAAAACATTCACCATTCAATGTGGTCAAACAAATGTCATGACAATGCGAAGACATTAACTTAAAAGGGATAATAAAAAAAATTTAAAGTTTTCTTTTTCCTCAGTTCTAAAAATAGTAACCACATTTTTTTTTGTTTTTTGGTGGATTAATTACAAATAACATGGTTAAATTATGGTTAGTGTAGCAAAACCATGCTTAATTTTATGGTTACCATGATTTAACTACAACAACCAAAGTTTTTTGTTTTTATTTGTAGTAAAGCCATTTCATTTTTGCTTGACATTTCCCTTTAAAAGGGATAGTTCACCCCAAAATGAAAAATCTTGTCATTTATTCACCCTCAAGAAGAAGATAATTTGAGAAATGTCTAGGCGTTTTTGTCCATACAATGGAAGTAATAGTCGGTGAAACAGTTCAACAGTAAGTCAAAAGTAAGTCAAAACATTTTAATTTCTGAGTGAACTATACGAATAAAAAAATTCCATTTAATAATTTAAAAATCACATAAAAGATTTCGTAATATATATGCTGCTGGAATTAATGCCTGTATGTTATTTCAGACGAAAACACGAGACTGTGTAAAAATGAATGTATTGTGTTCTTTCAGGATCCGAGAGTCCTAACAGAAAGATGCCTCCCAGTTCCCGCCTCCACATGGAAACGCATTTCACCAAGCTAAATAAACAATCGCATTGCCCATATAAGCACTGCAAAAATCAATAGACACTAAACATATAGAGTAATCCAAATGAACAAAGAAAGTTATTTAGATTTTTTTTTTTTTGCCACCTTTGAAAATGTAACAACATTACAATGCACCATGTCTTGCACGTGCTTTCGGGTCACAATGAAGTGAAGTTGCACTGTAATAAAAACGTCCAGCGTATGACGTCATTTTCTCTTTTAAACAGCTCACATACCTGCGATGGCATGAAGAAGTCTGCGTCCTCCTGCCAAACTTCAACCACGCTGGGCATCTGAGTCAGAGCTTCAGAAAGAAGGGATAACAAACATATAGAACGTCAAGGGAGCAGATCAAGAAACACCAGGCCAATTCCTGTCTCTACACAAACATACAGGAAATCCGAAATTGACACTAGTGCTGGTCTTATCATGAGTTATCTAATGTTTGGTTTGAATTGCAGTAGTTGAACAGTAAGCAGCATATGAACTGGCGTGGATGACAAAGACGTGCAATTGAACGGACAAGCTATTTTAGTCCAGAGCTCACACCATGACAACAATCCACATTACGTTACATGCCGCTGAAAACACATCTAAGTGTGCATTAATACTGTTCGTAGCTTGTGTTTTCTTCAGCGAACATCGAATACACGCTTAGTTCCCATAGACTGCACTGAATAACAGCTATGCAGATGAGCTTGTAGCATATCGCATAAACACAGGAAATCGAACGAAACCAACAACTGGCCAAAAACGCTTAAGCAGTCTGTCTTCAGATTTGTATCAAAAGATAAATCCTTATGCAGATAGAGAGACGAATGAAACTAGAATACAATAGATCAGCTTTCGGGTGAATACTGTGTCCTTATAGCATAACGAGTGCACTTGAATACTTGTCAAATCAGCCCTCGGCAGTTCCTCCGACATTTTCACACTCGCGTTGCATTCGTGAACAAACTAAATAAGACGATTCTGTCTCCCTCACCTTGAAACTGAGATTCTCCGTGTTGAATGTACGGCAATATCAGCTGTAGGAGTCGTAGAAGGACATTAATCCATGTTGTTCTGTGTGTGAAGTCCCTTTGGCTCGCCATGCTGGCTGTGTTGAGCTCCCTGGCTTCACTTCTTTCTCTTTCTCTCACTCACACCCTCCCTCCTTTCTCAACAGTACCTAAGCGAGTGTGAAAGTGTCGCCCACTACAGCCAGACAAGCCAGCTACACTGCAAGCGAATCAACCATCTAAGTTACTCTCTACTACAGTCTACTGACCAATTCACATTTCACACGGCACACACACGCCAACAAACAAGTTTTCCGTTGGATTTAGTACTTTATGAAGAATATCTGTCATGTTCACACTGCCCCAACAGACAGACAAACGCTGTTTGAAAATATTCAGTCGGGGGAAAACAAACCCCGAGCTGACCGTTGACTGACTGACTGACACTGCGACAGTTTAGGGGTACAGTTATACTGTTTAAATCACATTGCTATATTTTTATAACATTCACAAATAAATGGAAGGTCATTAACACTTGAGAAATCCAATATTTTGGTAATTGAAAAAAAAAAAAAATTGACAACCAATTTATACACAAACATCAAAGTCAAAATTATTACATACAGTCATATGAAGAAAATTCTAAAGTAACATTTATGTCCTAAAAAGTAAAAATTGGGACATCATAATGTTGACGTTGTATATCATAATTCTATTTATGTCATAATTATGATTTACCAAAACATGTTTTTCTTTTTTTCTTATGATATATATTAGTGAACCATTCCTTACAAGTGCAATATAATCGCTGGAGCAGATCTACACCTAAATACTAAATACTCAGCCTTGGTTTTCGGTTTAAATGTACATAATTATGGATTAATAAAACTTGTTTACAAATATAAACCCTTAAAACATCCAATATTTTTGTCTTTGAAAAAAAACTAAAATAAATAATTGAAAAAAAAAAAATAAATAAAAAATACACATTGAAAAAAAAACACTAAGTACATGTATTTCTGAGGCATTCAACAAGAAAAGCAAAGAAGTATGCAATCAATCAAGAATTTTCCTCCACCGATTTAACTAATCGACTAAAGGTTTTTATGGACCTTGTTTGTGTATAATTGTTCTATTAACAATGTATTGATTAATAAAGGTTATTTTAAATGATTACACCAATTCACAAAGCAGCTCTCATATTTTAAACTGTACTTCAACATAACACTGTTGAAATGAACAAGCATTAATTATTTTCAACAAACTTAGAAACTACTGGTACAGATATCAATTTCTCTCTCTTTCTCTGTGTGTGTGTTTGTAGTGTTTTCATGCATTTAAGTGTAGCAAATAGAAGTAGATGTTGCAAATGGATATAGGACATTACAAAATGTGCTTAAACGTGCATTTATTAGCCATTGAACATTTTTCATATTTACAGCATACAAAAATGTGCTCTGTGAAAAAATGGTCACGGTTTAAACCAAAAGGCAAAAAAAAAAATCTTCTGAATTGAAATGAACAAGAATACTTTATACAGAAACATGCATGCTTTTGCTATTAGAATCTTTTTCATAAACAATTTTGCCTTACTTCAAACTAACTCAAAACTGTGATTGATTTCCTTGAATTGAACTTTGATGTGCACCTCAATTCATTATCCTAGCATCAGTGAAGCTCAGTTTCTCTATCAACATGTGTCCAAACAGTCAGTGTAGTTATCGGGTGCATCTCTGAGCAGCCAAGGGTTAACACAACACCTTCTCCGCTTACACACCGGGAGCATTTTTTACCATCGTTTATCCATTTATGCTGACAAATCAATCTTGAAGTTTGCCTTAGACTAGACAAGGTTCAAATTTCAAGGGTGGGGCACTGCTGAGAATTTACACTGCACTCTTCGCAATGTATACAGCTTACAGCTTTGTCTCGAACATGCAGAACTGAGAACAAAATGTAAAACAAACTGATGTAAGCAAATAAAGCTTGATTGTGGAGTGTTGAACACAATCACAAGATCCACGAGGCTGGGAATTTTTGGTCAATTAATATAGTCAAAGTCCTCTGGTATTCCAAAAGCTTTGTCCAAGTGTGTGTTCTCGAAGCCAAACTTCTTCTTTGCCCAGGATTTGATTGCAAAAACATTATCTGGAAAAGAATGAATGTGAAACATGACACACATATGACACAAAAACAATTCAGATGAATTATGACTACTATTCATCTTAGTCATTGTGCAACAATTTCAGAAATTGAATTTTTAATGACGCGTTTCCAAATCTATAACAGTTTTTCATATTCCAATTAAAAAAAAAAAAGTGATATACATTTATAATGCTTTAGTTTTGTGTTAAAGGGATAGTTCACTTTGAAATTAATCTTTGATATGTTTTAGCTTACCTCAAGGGCATCCAAGATGTAGGCGTCTTTGTTTCCACAGTATTTTCAATTTTGACATGTTTCAGTCAAACCATTGTTGTCTATCAGTCATACACTGGAGGCTAAGGGGGTCCACCAAAAAGCACGCACAGAGAAGTCAAAATTAAACATGATTTAATGACTCGTAAATGTAAGTACACATTGACGGCCTAAGACACGAAACGAGCGGTTTTTGTGAGAAAACGAACAGTATTTGTATCGTTTTTTTCATATTTATGGCATACAAAAATGTGCCCTGTGAAAAAGTGGTCACTGATTAAACCAAAATTTTTTGAGAGGTAAAACGATATAAATACTGTTTGTTTTCTCACACAACTGCTCGTTTCGTGTCTTAGGCCATCAATGTGTACTTACATTTACGAGTCATTAAATCATGTTTAATTTTGACTTCTCTGTGCATGCTTTTTGGTGGACCCCCTTAGCCTCAGTATGACTGATAGACAACAACGGTTTGACCAAAAAATGTCAAAATTGAAAATGCTGTGGAAACAAAGACATCTTGGATGCCCTTGAGGTAAGCTAAAACATCAAAATTAATTTCAAAGTGAACTATCCCTTTAACAAAAAAATTAATTAATGCTCACAATGCTTAATGTATTAGAATCGTTGTATTGAGGGAGTGACATCTTTCTCTCTCTTGACTTGCTGTAATCAATCTCTCAATATATTTTCCATCCTTTGGATATGGTAATGCTATCACAGAGTTTTTCTTTTGCTATTGGAGCAAATGGGAATACTATCTAAATAATGGAGTTAAAAGTATTATTTGGAGAACAGGCACTGATTTAGCCTTTTAATACAGAGATTTTACATTTCAATAAGAAATAGTTTTCACTAATGAAGTGCTCATAACTCAGTTAAATCATATATTGCATTAAATCTACTGATAATATCAGGTTTGTTTTAGGGATAAGCTGACAGTAAATCATTTCCGCATACCATTCCATCTATGAGATCACTCAGTAATATAGTAAAACCTACATGTGTTTGCGATTCCCTAGTGTACAGTGTTTGACTCTCGGCTGAAATCTGATCTATTGAATGTAAACAGAACATTAAACCCTTCCCATTTCGTACGCCTGCTGTTTTCTGAAACATGCCCGCACCAAAAGTTTTCGTACCCTGCTCATCTGTGACCACTTTTGTAGTTGTGTTTGCAGAGTGCATAAAGGAATCTCCATCCTGAAGTTAAGTGGTATGCATGTCTGTGTCTGCTGCATTCCAGAAAAATCATGCCTGGGAATAACCAACGGTTTGAACTGCACAGCAGTCAGGAGTTACAAAAACATTCACGCTCATTTTATTCTGCCACAAATAAGACTGGGACTTTGGGCCAGGGTATCAAAATCAACAACACTTCTGCATTAAACCAATATTTGAGAACGGCCAATTGTGATCACCTTCGCAAGCAGACAAGATATTCGGTCGTATTTCAAAACACTGCACGTGATATTTTATTTCATTAGACAAAGAACAGTCTGAGATAACTGTATGTGCTTGAATAATAAATACTATATGTGCAGATCTAAGGCTGGACTGATCTTAGACAGATCTGACAAAACTGGATTATCAGGATTGTCTGTGGCCTACATTTCAGAACCTGTGGACGCATCACATGACTTGACAAGAGGTGTGAGGCGTGCAAATGACTTACCTGTCCACCTAGACACGGCCTCTTTTGCTGTAATGTTGGCCTTACCTAGAAAAAGGATGAATATGTTAGCAAGGCCATAGTTTTCAGGTTACATTGTGAGTTTTTAAGTTCATAATTGTACAGTCTTTCTTTTTTGATAAAAAAAAAAAAAATCCTTTAAATGTAGTCAATATTTGACAATGTCATATTCATTCATTCATTCCAATATATATATATATATATGAAGAGTTCAGATGCAAAAACCTCTAAGTGCCATTTGAAATTTTCTTCTAAAATGATCATTTTTATCAAGCTTGTATACGTATGTAAGCTCAGTAATTTCACTTAAATGAATTCAATGAAGATTACCTATGAATTGCCATTTAAGTGAAATTACTGAACTTAAATATACAAGCTTGATAAAAATGATCATTCTAGAAGAAAATTTCAAATGGCACTTAGAGGCTTTTGCATCGGAACTCTTCATATATATATGGTGTGGCTCAGTGGGCAGCACTGTCCTCATTTTGAGTCCCTGCTGAGTCTTTTCTGTTTGAAGTTTGCAATGTCTGTGTGGGTTTCCTTCGGGGGCTCAGGTTTCCCCAAAATCCAAAAACATGCAGTATAGGTGAATTGAAGACTCTAAATTGACCATAGGTGTAAATGCGTGTGTGATCTCTCATGTAGTTTCTCATGTAGGACAAGAGATGGCTATATCTCGACCAAGAGTCAGATCTGACTGTTAGCTACACACACACACACACACACACACACACACATATATATATATATATATATATATATAATTTTAACATCAACATTTAATAAAAACCTATTTTTAGTTGACACAATTACATTTAAGTGAAAAAACAAACAAAAAAAAAACAATATATTGTCTATTGTATATACAGTATATTACTGGTAGAGCCAGACCGATATATCGGCAGGCCGATATTATCGGCCGATATTAGGCATTTTCCAAACTATCGGTATTGGCAGTTATGGCCGATAAATGAATATTTCAAGAATAAAATCAAAACGGATGAAACAGGCTTGAACCATGTTATGAGTGTTGGAGAGTTGTATAGT